ATACATACCTGTTAACCATGGACTGCTTCCGGGTAGATTAACTCTTGTGTAATCAATAGTGCTAGTGAAGCTTATATCAGATCCACTCTGATTTAGCCACCCACACTAGTAGCAAGTATTACCTTCACAGGGGTAACTGCAGTTGGATCCCGGGGCGGATACCCTGATGCCGTCAATCCTTTTTCGGCACCTTGTCCTCACCCACTTACTGAGGTGTGGTGAGCCCATACGTGGGATCATTTTCAAGTCCACCCATACACAGTTTGGGGGTGTCAGGGGGTGTCGGCCGTTGGGCGGTTCAATAGCCAATTGAGTCATCTTTCCAAGATTCCTTTTGAGTCTCTCTCTCCTCTCCCAGGGAGACCCACGTGACCAGTTTTGGCAGTGGGCAAGTACAAGTATGTGTGTGTGTGTGTGTACACATGCGTGTGTGTGTGTGTGTGTGTGTGTGTGTGTGTGTGTGTGTGTGTGTGTGTGTGTGTGTGTGTGTGTGTGTGTGTGTGTGTGTCCCATATGGTGCATTGGTATGTGTCGATTTACAATCGAGAGGTTGCGGTTTCAATTCCCGACGATTATGGTCGCACACGTCTTTCTTCTCTTTCTCATCTCTTAGCTCTTCTTTCATTCTCCTGGGTGGTTACCAACAGCCAGTGTATGCCGGAGTATGTGGTGTGGTGTGTGTATCGAAAAAAAAGGATTGAAAAAATGGAAAATTGAAAACATAGCCAGCAATCGCATGTCATCACGTACATTGAAAATAAACATAATTTTGCGAATCGACCTTTTTTTCAGGATCACTTTTCAACGAGGACGAAGCAAAGTCGGCCGAACGAAGCCTACAGGAAGAAAATCATATAATCATCCGCTCCACTTCACCATCACGATACTGACATAGATACGAGATGAAACAACTAGAAAATCCACAAGAAAACTGTACGGCCATCATCGCATCATTGGACTTTGGTCTGACTTTGGTCTGACTTTGGTCTGAGAATTTCTATCGCGATCAAAAATGTATGAGGAGCACTCAAAAATAAGCTACAGACGTACCTTTATCGCTCTCTACTCCTTTTTCAAGGCACAAAAGTCGACTCTCCACTTTCAAACAAGGAACTAGACATACCAGTGGTCCTTTTCAGCTGCTCCACGAGCGCAGGAAATGTTCACCAAGGGGCGCAGAGCAGCATCCATTCCAGAAAAAGAGCTAAAATACGAGTGAGACTGCATGCCTGAGTACACGAGTACATGTATGAGTACATGCAGAAAATAGTCAATTTCAGCGTTTCTGCTCCAAACAGCAACTAGCTTCGACTAGAAACAAAGATTACACCAAAGGATCAAACAACAACCATTTTCTGCAGTTTTTTGCAGATGGCTTCCTTGTGCTTGGCCCAGCACGCCAAAAATCACACCTCGGAGGAGTACAAAAAATTATAACTCTCAGATGTCCTCGATTGCTGGCCATGATAGGGATTCACTGGCCAGAAAAGTCACTTCAATCAGCTCTGTGGTGGATACCAAGCTAAAATTAGTGGCGGTCAATTCATCAGCCTTGCAAGCCGTTGAATGGTGTAATCCCAGCACAAGTTGCTATGTCTAACATGGCTGTTCGCTATCATCGCTTCGGCGATGGGCATGTCTGAGTCTGAGTCTGAGTGTGTTTGTGTGTGTGTGCACGTGCGTGCGTGTGTGTGTGCGTGTGTGTGTATGTGTGTTTGTGTGTGTGCGTCTAAAGGTTTATCACAAGAAAACGTTCTTGGAATCCACCCAACAACTTTGGCTTGACGTGTGTATAGAATAAGTGCGCAGCAGATCATTTTTATTGCTATGCTGAAATAGTTGTTTCCACGTAGTTTTTTTTTTGTAAAATAAAGAATGAAATACAACTCGGACACTGAGCCAGTAATAAATGTTAAATAGTAGAAAACACATGGGAACGAGTTATGAATCAACTATCCACTCCTGTGACCTGATTATATTGTAACTCGGATACAGTCAGACCTCGCATAACCGCACACATCCGTTTTCCACAAAAATATTCGGATAGGCGAGGGAACCGGATAATCAAACACACGTACTGTATGTATGCATGCCATACGCTGTAAATCGGCAACCATCGATTTTCTTCCGGATGGCGAGGGATGCGGATAAAAGAGGACCGGATGGCAAGGGATGCGGATAAAAGAGGACCGGATAAAAGAGGACCGGATGGCGAGGGATGCGGATAAAAGAGGAGCGGATAAGTGAGGTCTGACTGTATTATGCTGCAACTATCCACGACTGTAACAAGATGAAAAACAGTCAGAAAGTGCGATAATCATGGCCAGCAATCGAGGACATCTGAGAGTTGTAATTTTTGTACTCCTCCGAGGTGTGATTTTTGGCGTGCTGGGCCAAGCAGAAGGAAGCCATCTGCAAAAAAACGGCAGAAAATGGTTGTTGTTTGATCCTTTGGTGCAATCTTTGTTTCTAGTCGAAGCTAGTTGCTGTTTGGAGCAGAAACGCTGAAATTGACTATTTTCTGCATGTACTCATACATGTACTCGTGTACTCAGGCATGCAGTCTCACTCGTATTTTAGCTCTTTTTCTGGAATGGATGCTGCTCTGCGCCCCTTGGTGAACATTTCCTGCGCTCGTGGAGCAGCTGAAAAGGACCACTGGTATGTCTAGTTCCTGGTTTGAAAGTGGAGAGTCGACTTTCATGCCTTGAAAAAGGAGTAGAGAGCGATAAAGGTACGTCTGTGGCGTATTTTTGAGTGCTCCTCGTACATTTTTGATCGTGATAGAAATTCTCAGACCAAAGTCAGACCAAAGTCAGCGCGATGATGGCCGTACAGTTTTCTTGTGGATTTTTTAGTTCTTTCATCTCGTATCTATGTCAGTATCGTGATGGTGAAGTGGAGAGGGTGATTTTCTTCCTCTAGGCTTCGTTCGGCCGACTTTGCTTCGTCCTCGTTGAAAAGTGATCCTGAAAAAAAGGTCGATTCGCAAAATTATGTTGATTTTGAATGTACGTGATGACATGCGATTGCTGGCTATGCTTCGGTCCTACGTAACCATGAACCTTCCAAATTGGAAGGCTGTTGGTTTGCGCACTGGAGGTGTGTTAGAGCTAGGTCTCGGGTCGCTGAATGTCTCAGTACCTTGTCAGTTTTGTGCCCTATTATCGCACTCTCCTTCGCCTCCTAACACTGTCTGTCTTATTTTTCCCCTCCTTCTTGTCCCTCCTCCTAACATTTCGTATCATGTACCTGTCACTCCTTTCATTTTTCTCCTTCTTTCTTTTTGGTGCGTTTTATGTCCCCATGATGTCGAGACCTCAGGTCGGCTGAGGGCAAAAAGCCTCACCATCACTATGCTCCCACTACGCAATTTTCTTGTGAGCTGTGATCATTGTAAAGAAAATTGATTATCACCTCCACCACTACACTGCGCTCTTAGCCGACTAGCCTTCCACTTCCCTTTTCCCTCGTTATCACCTCAGCTATGCCAGTTTTGTATGTGGAAAACCCCCTACTATAATAGCAGTTTGGTCTTATATTTTATCATTCAACATCTACCTTCACTGATGAGCTACCGTATTTTCCGGAGTATAGTGCGCACCTTTGTATAACGCGCACCCACAATCTTCATTGGGGGTGCGCACTTCAATCTTCATTGATGTTCATGCATTTGATATTCGGAGCATAGTGCGCACCTGCGATTTAGGGCCTAGAATAGCACATCTAAAGTGCGCAATATACTCCGGAAAATACGGTATGTGTTAGCGAAACAGCTGTCTGAAGGAGTTATCAATATCGTCTACGGAAGTGTCCTCGCACTGGTGATGGTTGTGTGCAGGAGGGTCCAGTGTCTGCTCTAGGATTGTAGGACAGCCGGGTACACGTGTACCTGGCGCAACCATTTCAACCGGGTCAGAGCCGGGTACACATGTACCTGGCGCTGTCTCACCAGCCAAGTCACAGCTTTGCCATGGAAGTGCGTCGCGTACCAGAAGCAGGTCATCTTTTTCGTCTCCATGTCGTAGACAAGCCATGGACGACCTGTTTTCCAAGAGTCCTGGAAGCATGCAGGGCCTGTGGATTCGCCTCTTCGCTGGAGGCTCCATTTCCAAACACAACACCTCAACGATCAAGCCCGAACTGAGCGCGTGCACACACGGGATACTGACTACTTTCACTTCGACGCGCACCTCTGCATGATCTGTCACATATACAAGCCATGTAGTCAGTCCTTTCAAAGTTCGAACGTGTAAAGTACCAACCGGGTCAGAGGTGACCCAGTACTATATTTTCAACCGGGTCCAAGCGCCGCCCAACCGGGTCGATTACCCGGCTCTGGAGCAGACACTGGGGTCTCGTCGGCTAAGAGCGCAGTGTAGTGGTGGAGGTGATAGTCAACATTTTTTTCAACGGCCGAGAGCTCTGTCGCACCCTGTAATAATAAAATTTAAATACTAATTTTAAAGAACTGTTTCAGAACACAGTTCGTCCTCCACCTTGTAACATACTGTCATTCAACAATACCTGTATCCATGGCATGTTCCCATGTACACTGCACAAGTAGTAGTAAACAGTTACTAAACACCACTTCAAATACATTCAGCAAACTACAGTGCTACTCAATGGAGAGGTTAAGATTCAGGTGATTTCCGACGTGACGCGCAATTTCACGTCAAATTCAGCGTAAAACTCCAAGTTTCGACGCGAGCTGCAGGTCACTCGCGTTGTTTTCGACGCGCGAGCCAAATAGCGCGAGCTGAACTTTCGTGTCACCTCGGAAATAACGTGCATCTTGACCTCTCTATTGAAATCCAGTCGCGTCACTCAACCACGCGCCGGGCTTTCCCCACCCCTAGAGTCACCTGTGAACACCAGGGGCGCGGAAATGCGGAATGATGCAAGGCGCAAACTAGTTTAAAAGCTAAAATTAACTTACTTGCAATGAGGAACGCGACTGGACTTCACTGAGCACTGCTCTACTTTAACAAACTACTTACCGACGAGAGACTGGTGAACAGCTGCAACACTCGCTTCATCTCCTCGTGTACTTCCTCGGCGGTCGGTCGCTCGCTCGGTTCATTGGAGTGGCAGCGAATTGCCAGCGGCTTCAGTGGGTGGTCATCAGGGAGTCGCCGAAGATAAGCAGCTCGCCGCCTTGTCTCTGCCACCACCTGCGTCGCTTCCTGTCCACTGGCGGCGTCGCGGACGATTACAACGGACGGAGCGTTGATCAGGTCGATCCCAGGCAGAACACCGGTGATAACAGCCAGTAGCGTAACTCCCAACGAGAAGATATCCAGCGGACGATCATAGTCAGGTTGCTCTACCATGGCTTCCGGCGGCATAAAAGCCAACGTCCCGGGGCAACGAGTCATGACCATTCGAGCCGCCTGGAACTGTTGCTGCTGTTGACGAGGGGATGCCAAACGTACGAACTTCGCAACACCGAAATCACACACCTTTGCGACTCCGTTCTTGATCATCACATTTTTCGGTGCGAGGTCCCGGTGGATAATACCACGAACGTGCAGGTATCGGATACCGGCCGACGTGTCGCAGAGGTAGCCGATCAGCATCAAGCCATCCTCCCGATCCTCACCAATACTCAACTCTTCCAACGTAGAAGTCAGCAACTCCAACGCGAGAGCAGCGTTTCGCCCAACTCTAGCAATGCCCAGCAATTGACAAAGATTGGGGTGGTGGGTACGACTGAGACGAAAGACCTCTTGCCCAAACGATATAATTTTCCTCTCTCGGTCCTGAACACCAGGCTCAACCAAAATGGGATGCAGAACTTTCAGGGCGATATCTATTCCCTGCCAGTTCAGCCGATACACGGCGGCATCGGAGCCACGACCCAGTTCATCTTCTTGCGTCACTCGTACGTCTCCCAAGAAAACAATATCCTGATTTGTCAAGCCTAACTCTCTCATCAATGGCAAAGCTTCCTGCTCCATTCTCTCACTAAAGAGACACTGCTTTCATTGAGCAGACACACCAATGAAGCGCAGTGGAGTGGTGCGGACACTAGCGTTGCAACTGATTTTGTAGTCGAGTTGTAGCTGTTCGTTGTCATCATGTATCCGCACAGCTTCAACATCATTGTCATCATGGTCATGGAAGGTCTACTTGTCAATGACTATGACTGTGTTGTACTAGAACTACACTCTGTCTACACTACACACTCTCTACAGTGCTGGCAACTGAAATCCGACCTCCTTGCCGGCGCGGCGTGCCGGCAAGGAGGTCGGATTTCAGTTGCCAGCACTGTAAGTATGGTAGAAGTAGATGTACGTGATGAAAAAAATACACAAGACAGTGCTAGTGTGCGAGGTGAGGGTCTCGCGCACGTTGTCCGTTTCACCTGGCTGCGGGTGACATCTCTGCTTTCAACTGTTTGGAATGATCTCGTGATCACCATGATCACGGGGATAGGCTAGTGTCGTCCGAACTCAGACTAAGCTTTAGCTCACGTAGCTTTTTGGCATCGTATAGTCTCTTGTGTTTGCCCTGAAAAGTGAAAGGCCTGATCCACCCATGACTTCTCTTTGCGTTTTGACGCTTGCGCCACGGCTGGCAAGAGGCAACGTTTGTAATAAAGTAATTATTTTAGTTGTTGTGGCTGCGATCACGTCATCGATGCATCCCGTCTCAAGTAACACTAACAGTTTTTGTACTGCAATTTCACAAAATTATTTTCGGTGTACATTGTACTTTTATTTTCGGTACTTTCGGTACTTTCGGTACTTTCGGTACTTTCGGTGCATCTGTTTCATACCTGTTGGTTTTCTTGAGCAGTATTTCTGCTAAATCTCTTCCCTTGCCCCTTTTCACTTCCCTTTCATGAATCCGTCCCATCCTCCCTTCCAGGAAACTTACCTTGATAAGAGTCCATTTCTATTTTGTACTCTTGGAGAATCCTTCAAATAGTCTGAATGAATGAAACCTAAAACCTGTCCTTTTTTAATTTTATTTATGGATTCCCCAAAGGCCGAGGCCTAAGTCGAGGGGGTCTCCGTTCATGGCTTACTGGGAATATATCTGCAAAATTATAACATAATAGATTGAGTGCTTATAATACATGTATCTGCCAGATCAGGTGGCACAACGTTCTTCCTCAGCCTACTCAAGGTTTTCCAAAAACACTATGTAACCCCAAAGCACAAAAGAAAAGCCAAAACTAAACCAAGAACTTGTGCATTAAACTCATGTCATTTAGAAAGACAAAAGACAGGGCAAGTGAAGAGTGAGTCAGTCCATTGTTTATGATGGTCTCCGACGGTTACGTCGGCAAGCGAGCCTCCGCCACTGCCAAAGCAGCGTGGGCTCCGCAGGAGGGTGCAAGTTCCAAAGCAAAACTGATACGCCTACAACCGCGAATGCACATGATACATGATTTCAGAAGGCTGAAGGAAATCCTGCATCTAACGATTCGTCGAAGGCCATAACATGTCAGTAGAGCTCGCCCCTCTTCTTCTCAGCCTTCTCAATGTCAACTGATGAGGGGGGAATTCCCCGAAACTAGGGGTGAAAGTAAGTTGGCACTGAGATCCCGAGTTCGAGTACTCTGATTTTCTCCGATCGAATATTCTTGATATCCTAAAAATCTCAAACGGGATAAGTCTGAAGAAAAAACTGACTGTCACCACCAGGACTCGAACCAGGGACCCTCGCTTGTAGCTAGCGAAGCTCTAACCACTGAGTATTCGAATATTCGGTATAATTGTTTCACCCCTACCCGAAACACTGTGTATTGAGCAGGGAGTGGTGCTTTCTTGCAGACCCAGCATCAGCACCAGCACTCACCCAGCACCATCACCCACCCACCCACCCAGCCAGCACCATCACCCACACAGCACCACCACCCACCCAGCACCATCACCACCACCCACACAGCACCATCACCCACCCAGCACCACCAGCACCCACCCAGCCAGCACCCAGCCAGCACCAGCACTCACCCAGCACCATCACCCACCCAGCACCGGCACCCCCCCCCCCCCCCCCCCCAGCACCACCACCCACCCAGCACCATCACCCACACAGTACCGTCAACTAGGATGAACTCATCTGCTTCACTACCTCTCTCTCTCTCTCTCTCTCTCTCTCTCTCTCTCTCTCTCTCTCTCTCTCTCTCTCTCTCTCTCTCTCTCTCTCTCTCTCTCTCTCTCTCTCTCTCTCTCTCTCCTCTCTCTCACTCACTCACTCACTCCTTTCTTCCCGGTTGCCGTGCTTGTGACTTTTTTTTCCCTGCTGCCGTGCTCATATTAGTTATCTAACTACAGCTGTATCTTCTTCTTGGTTCTGTTTGTCCGCTTATTATTATATATTTTTCTTTTCTCTTATTATCAGTGGGACCATTGTCATTAGGTTTAGGCCTGTTTTGGAACTCCACTTTAAATAAAGCCAAACAACAACAACAACAACAACAACAACACAGCACCATCACCCACCCAGCACCATCACCCACACAGCACCATCACCCACCCAGCACCATCACCCACCCAGCACCACCACCCACCCAGCACCAGCACCATCACCCACACAGCACCACACAAGTGAACACATTGAGGTGACACGGCCCACACACAAGGCAACACACAATGTGCGCATCACGTAAAATGATCTATGTTGTCTAGACAATAAGAGAAGAAAAGCACCTACTGAAAACCTCTAGCAAAACAGACAACAGAGACACACAGAGAGAGAGAGAGAGAGAGAGAGAGAGAGAGAGAGAGAGAGAGAGAGAGGGGGGGGGGCACGGAGAAAGGTCATGTATATTATTGTTACATGCTCATGAACACGCACGTGCACACACAGACACACGTGCGTGCGCACAGACACACACGCATGCCCGCACTCCTGGCAGCTACTGTACAGAGGAGGGATGGAGGGCGCGCAGGCAAATATAAACACCCAAATGTACACATGCGCACAACACGCAAAACACGCAACACACATACACACACACACAAACAGCGAATGGTAAGAAAGAAATATACGTGGGCAAGCGGATGTGGGTGAGTGTAAGAAAGGGGGGGGGGAGCCACTGGCACAGTAGTATACAGAAAGGTGGGAGAGACGTGGTCGTTGCCATAACAACACAATATGCACAGACACAAACATGCAGATCAGCAAGGTTGTACATACCCGCAAACACAGGAGTAGCCGACATGGATAGAGAGAGCGAGAGAGACACAACATAAAGTTGATGACACACACACACACGCGCGCGCGAAAGCAATGTACACACGTTTCAGGCCAAAACGTGACAGGAGAACGCAACCGAACAATGGCACGACGCACTCGAATGAATGAGGACTCCAAAGAGAGTAGGGGATAGCTTACACGCCCATGGTGTCGCCGAAGGTACAGGCTCGCGAAAGGCAATGTGTTTTTTAAGACACAGTGCTCATACAATTCGAGACGTGCCATTGTACGCAACACGGCACGGACAGCAGACATAGCTACATCACCACAGCAATGGCTTCACACAGTGCACAGCGAAGCTAAAACAATACGTGCAGGGGTAGGTCGTACACAGCTACACACACACACACACACACACACACAGATGCACCCGTATGTGTGCTTGCATGCGCACACACGCACACATACATGTGTGCATACAATCGCGGAACCTGCCAATCAAGGTCCGCAGTGATTGTTGCTGGCGAACAAGTTCAGGCTGTAGAGCAGTCTGGGGAACTACACGAGCTCCTTATCTTCAAGGTACTTGTATTCGAAGATGAAGCCCTCCTTCATTCGCTGCTGCCACTTCTCATAGTCAAAGTAGATGTACGTGCCCTAGACCAACAAAGACATACACACACGCACACACAGCACCCGCACCCACACACACACCCACACACACCCACACGCACGCACACAAACAAACAAAAATACACGTCTAGAGAAATGACCAATCGGCATTCCCTGCCTCGACATTGTGCTTTCTAGTACATGCACACCACACTCACTGCGTATGTGTGCGACTGCCATGCTATGTGTGGGACTGCCATGCTCTCAATGCTAGTCAAACTGCACAGGTCCGTTGATTGCCTTTTTTTCTAACATGGCTACTGAAACTCTCTACATATATGCACCCCCCCCCCCCCCCCACACACACACCCACCCACCACACACAGACATACACCCACACACCCACCACACACCAATACACACAGACAGACACACAGACACACAGACAGACACACAGACGCACATACAGACACAGGGAATTTTCTAGAACCGCCTCAACCGGTTTTCGACCGGTTGAATTTGTTGGCGACCGGATGAAAAGTTACAAATCAGTTCCAACCGCCCGTACTTTTCTGTGGGTGAATGGAGCTGTGAATGGTCAAACGCTTGTTTCTGGACGGATACTTCCAGCGAAGCCGCGTGGGCTGGTACTAGGGTCACGAGTTTGTACTCCAGCACCAAGAAATCTGTTAAATTGCTGTCGAGTGCCATATTTGGGTTGTATTTTTAAAAAAATTTCCGCGGGGGGTCCCCCGGACCCCCCGACTCTTCATTGGACCGTAACTGGTTGGAAATTCGTCCTAGAATATACCCTGATGACAGACAGACAGACAGACACACACACACCACTACACACCAACACACTTGTACTTGCTCACTGCCAAAATTGCAACACACACACAGACACACCAATGCACACAGACCCCCCCCCCCACACACACAGACACACACCAATACCCCCTCCCCTCCTCACACCTACATACACACACCAACACCCCCCCCCCCCCCCACACGCAGATACACACCAACCCCCCCCCCCCCACACACACACACAAACATACACCACATACCTGCTCATACTCGTCTGTTATCAACTTTGGCTCTTCGTGTCGCTGGAACCACATCATGTGTTTGATGTGGAAACGCCAGGACTGTTTTTTCAGGGAACGCGCTGCCAGCCACTGCGCTTTCGTACCCTAAAACATGAGAAAGCAAGAAAACATTATTCACATACCCAATACAGTCAGCCAGTGCGCTTTCGTACCCTAGAACGTCAGAAAGCAATAATGACATTATTCACATACCCAATACAGTCAGCCACTGCGCTTTCGTACCCTAGAACGTCAGAAAGCAATAATGACATTATTCACATACCCAATACAGTCAGACCTTGCTTATCCGGTCCTCTTTTCTCCGGATCCCTCGCCATCCGGGAAAAAAATCGTTGGTTACCGATTTACAGCATAAGCCATGCATACACACACAGTATGTGTGTTGGACTAGAGGTGATTTACACGACGGCAGTGCATCCCGCAGGGAAGAGAAGCACGTGATCCCGAGAGTTTTCCCGTGATCGGGAAAAACGAAAATCGATTCACATGGCAGGATGCACGTACAGTACATGTAGTACAAAACAGTTCACGGAATGCCACGGTATGCATTTCCACCCACCAGCCCAGTCCCCTCATGGCACCGGGGCCGTACCGGGATAGCCGACAGGATACGTTCGCGCCAAAATATGAGTACATGTGACTGAATCTCCATGGTAGCATCACGCACGGGATGAATCCTGCCGTCGTGTAAATCGCCTCTTATCCGGTTCCCTCGCCTATCCGGATATTTTTGCGGAAAGCGGATGTGTGCGCTTAAGCAATGTATGACTATACAGTTACAGAGAGAAGAAAGGCAGGTCAAGTTGCCATGGCAACCGAGCAGGATGACACAGCCGAGAGAACGATGCGCACGCACTATGAAGCTTGCTGAAACGCAGTAACCATAGCAACTCGGTGCTGATGGATGTTTTAGCTATCAATGTTTTCAAAAGGAAATCCTCCTCGACCCACACGCAACATTTTCGTTTCGTGAAAAATCCATGATACCGGATGGGTTCCTTACCTCATGATAATAGAAGATAAAAAAGAGTGTTTCTGGAGACAGGCGCTGGAAGAAATCAAACGTATCGCATTGCATGGGTGGGTGTTGATGGTGGTAGCTGGGTGTGTTGCATGGGTTGCGCGGAACAGTCGTTCTGCACAGAAAGACAACTGTGAAGGCAACAGCGAAGACAACAACGAAGACAACAGTGAAGACAACAGTGAAGACAGCAGCGAAGACAAAAGCGAAGACAAAAGCGAAGACAACAGTGAAGACAACAGCGAAGACAACAGTGAAGACAACAGTGAAGACGACAGTGAAGACGACAGTAAAGACGACAGCGAAAGCAACAGTGAAGACAACAGCAAAGACAACAGTGAAGACAACAGTGAAGACAACAGCGAAGACAACAGCGAAGACAACAGCGAAGACAATAGTGAAGACAACAGTGAAGACAACAGTGAAGACAACAGTGAAGACAACAGCGAAGGCAACAGTGAAGACAACAGTGAAGACAACAGCGAATACAACAGCGAAGACAACAGCGAAGGCAACAGTGAAGACAACAGTGAAGGCAACAGTGAAGACACCAGCGAAGACAACAGCGAAGACAGCAGCGAAGGCAACAGCGAAGACAACAGTGAAGACAACAGTGAAGACAACAGTGAAGACAACAGTGAAGACAACAGCGAAGACAACAGTGAAGACAACAACGAAGACAACATCGAAGACAACAGCGAAGGCAACAGCGAAGGCAACAGTGAAGGCAACAGCGAAGACAACAGTGAAAACAACAGCGAACAACACCACACAGGAATGACAGTAGCACTTGTACCAGAACCAACTGCAAAGGCACCACAACGAATACAAAGGAAACAACAGTCTCTGGAACGCCACAGACAACAGCAACAGCAGCAACAACAACAACAACGACAACGACAACGACAACGACAACGACAACGACAACGACAACGACAACGACAACAACAACAACAACAACAACAACAACAACAACAACAACAACAACAACAACAGCACCAACAATGGCAAAAAAATAAGAAAACCTTTGGGCTGCCGCAGAAATGTGCAACACAATAAAGACGATGTGCGTACCTTGTTCTCTCAGAATCGGTAGCCAGTGGCATGTGGTTGTGCGAGGCTTCTAGCATAGCTAAGTGAAACATTCTCTCCTTGGTGAACTGGACGGGGCCCAAAGGAGCCACACCGAGCAGCGGCTGGATGCGTATTTCATTGACCGGTACTCGTGCCTCGGAGAATCCAGACATGGGTAGAGAGGATGGCCTACCGCTGGCCCCACCCAATACACCACTGCCACTCACTGTGCACACGGAGACGTGATAAACACGCGTGCACGCATACACGCACGCAAACACATACACACGCATGTGCGCAGACACACACACACCCACACACAAACAAACACACACATACACGCACACCCACACACATGCATAGGTGACAGGCACAAACACACAAGGAACATGAAGATACGTGCGATACGGAGCTACAGTCCATTCATAAAAAGACGGGCCCTGGCTCTGGCGAGCGCCCGTATTTAGCTCCCGTATTTGGCAATTTTACGTGATACTATTGTATACAGTGCAGTGCTGCGAAATTTGAAATCAGAAAAAGGGTCCAAAAAGGGTACCTGAACTGGGGTTCGCACCACACAATGCACTGTTGCAGGCAGGGTGAAACGCCTGGATTTTGATGTTTTTTCCCAATTCAGTAGATCATGAATTTAAAGCAAGCAAGAAAAGAGCAGGATATACGAAGTATGTGAAAACCACAGTACAGGTACTTGTAGTGCTTGTTTCGACCTCGTCAGGTCTCATGAGCCGAGCTCAAAGTCTTTTGATTGATTTTATTTATTTGGATTCGCGAGACCAAACGAGCAGGAGTGCTCAATAACAGGGTAGCGAATGGTTGAGTTGTGCTATGTGACAATGTAGTGTGTGCGTGGAGGGGGGGGGGGGGGAGCTGCGGAGGCCCAATACAATGTAAGGGGATGGGAGGAGAGAAGGCCAGCGGAGAGTCAAATTCAGAAGAGGGAGGAGAGAATAGCTGAAGTACACGTTTACTGAGCGAATTCAAATAAACCAAACAAACAGCAAAACAAGTACACAGCTCACGAGAATAAAGAGGACTGGAGCACAGAATTGAACTGCTGATGTACACAGCTGACGAGAATAAAGACAGGAGCACAGAAATGAACGGGAGGCAGTCTACGAAGTGGTGGTACCATGGGTGCATGCACCACGGTACATTACCATATTATCGGCGCGGCTTTGCAAAGTTCGTGGGTACTGAATACCATGGTGTGACCAATTGTGTAGCAGTCTACAACGTGTAGGGAATGGCAGCTCGGCGGAATGCTGGGATGTTGCCCATGGCTCGCACTGTGTCAGGTATATGGTTCCATAACAGGCAACCGCGAGATGCCGGTCGGCATTGGCCTGCTCGGCTTCTGGCTATTGGTTGTTGCAGGCCCAGACCTTTTGTGTTGGAAGGCCTCTTTTACGGGCAAAGCAAAGCACAATCATCACCATGTATCAGTACAGTGAGTAGTTAAACCCAACACGAATGAAAAATGTGAAATGGAATAAAAACAATATTTATAAAAAATAAATAAATCAAAATTAAAATTCAATATCGAACACGAATAAAATAAAATAAAAATATGTAAAAAATAAACAATATCGAACACGGAATTAATTCCGGAACTATCTACTCAACCAATTCATAATGCAATACCCGCACACTGCGTCAGTGATGGAACTCCGCTACCCGATCAACATGCAGAGACCACTCAATCACATCGAGCTCAAAGTCTCCGACCGACCCGATTTCAAGAAGAACGTTTTTTGAACAACTTGGTAATTTAAACCCTCTCCTCTACCTCTGCCATTTCAAAACTATAGACACGTAGCGTTTTTGAAATATTTTATATTTGGCTGGAACTTTTTGAGAATAGTTTTCGGAATATTGCTCAGGACCGCTCCACAATTACTCTCATTATTATTATTATTATTATACGCACGTCCGCGTTTACGTCAACAGTAAGTCCACGTATTCGCATTTGCCAGAAGACAGGCAGAGTGGGCAGGGAGGAAAACAAAAATAAACAAAAGTAAAAAATAAATGTAAGACAGCAGGCGATAGGCACATAACTCATGTTCGATGATAGGTGCTCAATGCACGGGATCTATTCGAAAGATCAAAAAAATAAAACAAGAATAACAGACAAAGACGATAGGTTTGTAGCTCATGGTCGATGGTAAGTGCTAAATGCACGGGATCTGTACAATGCCTCTGTCCCATCCGTTAGTTACTGCGTACACCCTGGCACAGCTCGCGCCACGCAGGCCTGTCAGCGGCGATGGCCCGCAGGTGCTCCAGGTCTGCCAAGTTCCTCAGACTCCTCAGTCCTGCTGATTCTAGGTCCGCAGATAGTGTGGACACGATGGTTGTCCGTGGCCGCCCTCGCCATACCTTGTCCCCACAGGTGAAGTAACTCCGCATAGCGAGGGCGGCAGGCGTGTCTTGAGGGAGTCTAAGAATATGCCCAAACAGGCCCCATCTGGATCGCCGCATGAGGGCACTGATGGGCTCTGCGTGGCATCTGCCGTACAGGGCTTTGTTTGGAATCACCTGCGGCCAGCGGATACCCAGGAGACTCCGAAGTTGTCTTCGATGGAATGTGGCCAGACGCTCCCATGCTGAAGCCGTCAGTCCCCAGGTGCCTCCATTGTACGTTAGCACAGGGATGATAAACGCGTTGTAAAGCCTTAGCCGTAGACTTTCGCTGATGATCGATCGACGACACCATACCGTGAATAGCGCTCTGAAGGCTGCCGTTGCTAATTGTTTCCTTCGTGCAACATCTTCCTCGTCGCCGAGGAGTGACCCGAGTTTTTTTGTTTTCCGCCATACTTCAGCCAGGCGGTCTCCTTCCCGGCGCAATGTTGTTTTTTCTGTTTTATCTTCGTTGACCTTTAGGTGCCAGTCTCCAAGGATAGTGATGATATACGGTTCGATGCTCTCCAGCCAGGGTCTGGATTGGCTGATGAAATCAGTGTCATCGGCATAAATCACTTCTGGTGGTAGAGCCATGTCGCGCATTGGCCTGGGCGGAATCGATGCTCTGATCTCCCTCAAGGCTGATTCCAGGTAGATCACAAATACTACAGGAGAGAGAGAGAGAGAGTCACCTTGGGGGGTTCCGATGGTGGACTTGAAATCAGGTGAAACTTCCTTTCCAAGACGGACAGATAGGGTTGTGTTTGACAGCAATATCCGTACCAGTCGGATGTCATCCTCCGTGACGATTGCTCTCATGGTACTCAGCAGCTTCTCCCTTGAAACGGTGTCGAAAGCCTTCGACATATCTATTCCGTGAATCTCTATTACGCTCTGGTACTTCTGGGCAATTGCAGCCATCCACCGGTGTGCACAGACGGCATCCGCCGTCGACCTTCCGGGTCTGAATCCACTGTGTGTAGGGCTAAGGTACTCATTCACTGCCGGTTGGATACATCTGAGGGTCAATAACGATACAGCCTTCCTGACGGAATCCAGCAGAGTGATTGGGCGCAAATTACTGGTCGGTCCCCTCTTTCACTCTCACCGTCGTGTCCGAGATCAGAGTGGCAACGACATCAGTGGCAGCTCCAGAGTCTGAAAATCGCGCCAACGCCTTCTCACGGACAATGGTATCAAATGCTCCGCTGAAGTCTAATAGTGCGATTTAAAAAAAAAATTTATGTGGTATAGATGCTGGCATAACGGTTTTTGCCGAGGTACGCGTCTATAGTTTTGAAATGGACTGAAGGCGCATCAAGGTCAGAGAGCTCTACCTGAACTTGGTGATGTCTGCACCAGGGCAGATGTTGGGAGCGGCCAGAAAGAGGACTCGACCAAGTCGAGGCGAGGGTGCCAAATATGGTTCTACATGTAAGTGCCATAGAGTCGGTACCAGAAAAATCCCGACAAAAAATGGAGGTACCAGAAAAATCCCGACAAAAAATGGTGGTACCAGAAAAATCCCGACAAAAAATGGTGGTTTCTTCAGAATTCCCAAACTCCATTGCAGCGCATTCCTTGCACTCGAAAACACCGCCATTCCGGCAACAGGCTCTCAGCTGCACCAAATAAATAACTTTGCCAATATTTCGCCCATTGGGCATCATCAGGGCATTGAGGAAGGGGAGGCCAAATTACGAAATATAAAGACGAATAATGCAGGCAGATGAATGTTCTAAAAAATGGTGGTACCAGAAAAATCCCGAAAAAAAATGGCGGTACCAGAAAAATCCCGACAAAAAATGGCGGTAACAGAAAAATCCCGACAAAAAATGGTGGAAATATAAAGACGAATAATGCAGGCAGATGAATGTTCTAAAAAATGGTGGTACCAGAAAAATCCCGACAAAAAATGGTGGTACCAGAAAAATCCCGACAAAAAATGGTTGCCTGTCCAGGCCACACAACCAAACACTCTACTTGACCCTGCAGTAAAACCTGGTTTAAGCGACCATCCCACGGTGCAAGCAAAAGCGGTCGTTAAAGCCAGTTGGTCTTTAGAACCAGGTCTCACTGTGTCTGTGTAGAACTGTCGGTACATGGAAAAACGGTCGTTAAAGGGGAAGTTAAGGCAAAAATTAAAATTTCACCAGTTGTAGTCTTCGGGGTGCTGAGTCGAATGGTCGTGGTCCGAGGAAGCTGAGACGCTCCCTTCCTACTTGAATCCCAATCGAACTCGCGCACTTCCACCGAAACTGGGTGACTGCGCCCTACTAGATGGGGATTTGTATGCAAAATGTCACTAAAAGCGCCATTTCGTTCTTATAAAAGTATGGATGACCACGATTGGCCCATATGTTGTAGTCTTTTGGACGCTGAGTCGATTGGTTTTGGTCCGAAAAGGCTGCGATGCAGCGTTCCTCCTTTATTCCCAATCGAACATGGTTGAACAAGCGGTCACGTGCTCCTGCGTACACCAGTCAGCTGGTCACCGTGCCTGCAGGGTACAACTTACTAGCCTGTTTGACCTTTTTTGGGTGCAGTCCTGTCACTCGAGTTGAACTCGAGTTGAACCTTGGTGTGAAAGTTGTCGTCTGCTGGCGTGGTGACCAGGTGATTTGGGCACCCAGGAGCACGCGACCGCTTGTTCAACCATGTTCAATTGGGAATAAAGGAGGAATGCTGCATCGCAGCCTTTTTGGACCAAAACCAGTCGACTCAGCGTCCAAAAGAGTACAACATATGGGCCAATCGCGGTCATCCGTGCTTTTATAAGAACGAAATGGCGCTTTTAGTGACATTTTGCATACAAATCCCCATCTAGTAGGGCGCAGTCACCCAGTTTCGGTGGAAGTGTGCGAGTTCGATTGGGATTCAAGTAGGAAGGGAGCCTCTCAGCTTTCTCGGACCAAGACCATTCGACTCAGCACCCCGAAGACTACAACTGGTGAAATTTTAATTTTTGCCTTAACTTCCCCCTTAAGAGCAGGTGGTCGCTAACACAGAGGTCACTTACACCAGGTTTTACTATACTACGAATAGAACACGGCGACAACCACGAGGAATTTGCTGGGATGCTACGGGACAGCCTGTTATTTGTCCGATAACAGGAGAGTTTCGGAACGTTGAACAAGGCCTATTAACATACACATGGTAGCAAGTCAGACCAAACTGATGCAGTATGACACAATATAAGCTGAAGATGAAGCTGGAACACTGCTGGGAAGACATAGCGGAAACTGAGTGTAGTGTGCAAACTATAACGAAACAGATTCCCGTCTGCATCTTTTCCTCAAACCTGTGGAAACAGAGGCTGCAATCATTTTATTTATTTTTCTGATGTCCAAAACAAACACAGGAAACATTACAGACACTGAACTCTATCACAACATGAACAATTCTACGAGAAACGGTAGCGACAGCGAGGTAAGTGAGAAATGACTGTGACAACCGCAGTGGTTAAAGAAGGGCCTGTACTGAGAAATGTGCACAAGCTTCCTCACCTGGCTAGTCAAGCGCTCTTGATCAGTCTCGGCTGATTCAACTCTCGCTTTGTAATCATTGAGCAGGTGTCTCCTGCAGGACAGAAGCAGCAACAATAATGAGCATCAGCGATCTTAACCCTTTAACACCGATAGGACGGATTAATCCGTCAGACTATACAGTGCATGCTGAGGCGACTTCACACTTTCGCCATTTCGTCAATCCTTGTCCGAATTCAACGATCGAAAGGTCTGTTCGTATCAGGAAAGCCTCAGCTGTCGGCTCGAAAAAACGCGAAGACGATCTTAAACAACAGCAGATGTAACGCATGATACTACCCATGGTGTGAAATTAAACCTTCTTTGGCACGACAATGACAGAAAGCGGGTGGACAAGGAGAGACGCAGAGAGACAAACACAGACAGACATACAAAAACACAAAAGCAGATGGTCAAACAGATACGCACGGACATAAAGAAAGTTCAGATGTGCAGACGGTTAAAAACAGACACAGACACACACACACACACAGACACACACGAACATAAAGAAAGTTCAGACTGTCTACAGTACTGTCGGACACCGAAGAACGAAGAGCCGAAGAACAAACTGCCTAGACATTTCACCAAGCACCGCATACCGATGTCAGTTAAACCTGGTTAAAGCGACCACCCCACGGTGCAAGCAAACCGGTCGTTAAAGCCAGGTGGTCTTCAGAACCTGGTCCCACCGTGTCTGTGTAGAACTGTCGGTGCATGGAAACACGGTAGTTAAGAGCAGGTGGTCGCTAGAACCAGATGTCGCTTACACCAGCTTATACTGTAACCATGGTAACTCAACTGTGCATAGCTTGTAGTACATGAAAATATGAACGGTCTAGGTTAGCAAGCTGACACCTTGTTCTTAAGCGACCAACAGCACTGTACAGTCGTCTGAATGAAGGTTAGGTGGTATTTTTTTTTTTTTTTTTTTTTTTATTTACTTGAAAAAGCACATAACCACCAGGAAAGCTGACAAAGAAAAAAGAGTAAGAAAAGACAGATAAAAAGAGAGCTGAGAGAGAGAGAGAGAGAGAGTTGGGGTACGGTTAGGGGAGGACGAGACATTGAATGGTGGTCGCCACAGTCACAGATAGTAGCAGTGCTGGTGAGGCTACAGGCACTCCACTGACCATTAGGTCTCAGTATCGCCATGCCGGTAACGCACCAAGAGACAAAAACGGAAGAAAATCTGAAGCGCAATACATGAATGGTAATTACAATATAGGTAATAGGGAGAGTGGTGACCAAGAGAGGACAGTATAGACCGTTAGTATGGGGTGCTTCAATGCACATCCCCAAACCGAGAGGTGCGATCTGGAAAGAACAGTGAGACGATCAACATGATGGGCTTCAAAGCACGTCCCAAGACCATGGCTGGTCTGAAATGTGTTTGTTGACACCTTTTTTAAAAGCTGTGAGTGGAGAGTGATTGGCCAGACGGGGAAAGACGTCCTCGGGGAGGCTGTTCCACAATTCAAGGAAACAGTACGGGAAGGAACGTCGAAGGTAATCGGGACTGGTGCCGGGGGTGGGGTATGCATGGTAGACTGCAAGCCGTGTCATCACACTTATCCATATCTTTTACATCATCACTCGCGTCATCTTCTACTTACGCAATAAAACAGCATTGCTTGAATCAGCCGTCGATGTGTCGGATTTTCTTTCCTTGCGCTCCTGCTGAAGTGTCTGAACTTCTTGTTTCAAGCGGCCAATCTGGAGCAGATGTATCGCAAATGCACACAAGCGTGCACACATGCACACACATGCAAACACACACGCACACACACACACATGAACACACACACACACATGAACACACAAACACACACACACATGCACACACATACGCACGCACACACACACACATACACACACACACACACACACACACACATGCACGCACACACGCACACAGACGCACACACCTTGACCTTGTGTACGGCTGCCAGTAACTGGCTATGCCGCCCCGATGCGGGGGAGGAGAGGAGAGCGCGCAGTCATAATGCCCTGCAGACATGTCGCCGGAAGTCGCGGAGCCAATGAAAATGTCTCCCACACTTGCACTCATGTTGAAAGTGACCACGATCAACATGCCTGCTTCCGCCTCTCCGACACGCACGCACGCACACACATACACACACACACACACACACACACACACACACAAACACACACACACGCACACATACACACCCACGCAAACACACACACACACAAACACACACACACACACAAACACACACACACACACACACACGCAAACACACACACACCATACATGCAGTACTCATCATGCTGTCGGATGAGCGTTTCACAACACGAAACTCTGAGTAACGGCAGAAATGGACTTGATTGTGTCATGGCCATGTGACAGTGCAGGTATTGTATTACATGTAGTGCACCTGTCCACTGGACATCAAGCTCTGTCCACTGGACATCAAGCTCTGTCCACTGGACATCAAGCTCTGTCCACTGGACATCAAGCTCTGTCCATCAAGCTCTGTCCACTGGACATCAAGCTCTATCCACTGGACATCAAGCTCTGTCCACTGGACATCAAGCTCTGTCCACTGGACATCAAGCTCTGTCCACTGGACATCAAGCTCTGCCCACTGGACATCAAGCTCTGTCCACTGGACATCAAGCTCTGTCCACTGGACATCAAGCTCTGTCCACTGGAAAATCATGCTCTGTCCACTGGACATCAAGCTCTGTCCACTGGACATCAAGCTCTGTCCACTGTGACTGGACATCAAGCTCTGTGCACTGGACATCAAGCTCTGTCCACTGGACATCGAGCTCTGTGCAGCCTGAGGATCTTAGACAACCGTGCACATCATACAGAAAATATCCACATAGACAAACAGACAGATAACATGGATAGGCATGGCATGAAAACGTATACCAATGACCTCCACTCTCCACAGATGCAAGATTATCAAGTAGAAGATCCCTCACCTGTGTGAGCAGAATTTGCTTTTGTCTTTCCTTGATATCTGCCAAAGAAGATATAATTAGAGACAGATATAATATAGAGACAAAGAGACAGATGTAGCAACTTCTGCATTATTTTGAGACAATACATTTGTCACCTTTCCTTGACCAACACGGAATACTTATAGTCTGGCATCTACAAGGAGTTTAAAAGTTAGTAGAGCAAAAAATACATCTAGCTTCTTAAAAGGAAGAATACGCTGTGCTAAATAGAACGGTTGTCAGTTGACAAACACCCTTTCATAAAAGGAAGAATACGCTGTGCTAAATAGAACGGTTGTCAGTTGACAAACCCCCTTTCATAAAAGGTAGCTTAAAAAATTGGTGCAGCACACACTGGACTTTTTGTCCTATGAAAGCACTCTAATACTAGCTGGCTAAGACGAGCTGATGAGAGGGGGGGGGGGGGTCCCCATTTTGTGCATCGAATCAGGATTAGTTATTTCTGGACGGATTCTCTGATGATTCTGTGGGAAGCCAGTGTGAAAGTGATGGTGACAGCTGTTTGATTGTCAATGAACATCAAATGAAGCAAAAGATGTGCGTCGAGACCTTATAGCCCACAGAACACTGTATTCTAAATAAGGTGTCGTGACCTTACAGCCCACAGAACACTGTATTCTAAATAAGGCGCTAGAGGCTTGGTGACATGAACGTACCGTGCTGACTGGGTCGCCTCAGTAGCCGTTCCTCGTACTCGTCTTCCTCCGTGGTAACCTCGGTGTCCTCTTCGCTGGTATGATTGCAAGTACTTTCACCTTCCTCTGTGCTGTGACCTTCATCGCCGTTGAGTAAGTGCTGCGGTGGCCACTCCATGTCAAGCTCCTGTGGAAAATCAAGCTCCAGATATGCCCAAATTCCGTACCCTCGTCAGACAGCACTTCAGTATCTCCCAGTAAACAAAGTCACAGTCACCACTTCCGCTGCATAGCTCGCTGAGCATCCCATTGCTTTGTAAGTTGCTAATCCCTTCCCACTTTGTGTACGTGCTCTTAATTTTCTTTTTTTCTCTTCTTCCGTGGTTGGTCTCACCCTCTCCTCAATTCAATTGGCTGTCTTGACATGCCACGAGGTGCAGAAATAAATAAATAAATAAATAAATAAAATGACAGCACCATTCGTACACCATCCGCCAGAGCAGCAGCCAGATTATAAATAGAAATTTGATATAATATACCGTTTGTGTGAGACCTGGCCAGAGGGCGAGTTATCGGCATCCGTAGGAACGCCATCACCCTCAAGGATTAAGACGCAGATACAGCTCCAAAAGCAGTAGGAGGCAAGTAGATCAGACCCACCACCAAACAGCCAGCCATATAAGCAGATAAGCCAAATGTTCTGCACTTCTGTCGATTTTCAGCAGACTTGGGATGGCGTTCAAACAGTTTTCATTGGTATGCAGTGATGAGGATCAAGGCCATCCATGCTCTATGCCAGAGGTTGCCCAAGAGTTGTTTTACAACAAAAACTGGATGGATGATTTATTGCACTGTCTATTTTTTATTTATTTCACTGTAACAAATAGTATTCCGATGTGGAAAACACTGTGAAAAATTGTTGTATTTCCTGATATGTACCTATGCTTGTTTGAGGAGCTTCTGGGTCATCAATATTGCTTTGTTCAGTCTAATACTTTGCCATGTGATCACTAGATACCTATAGATGACAACAGCAGAAAAAAGTCATTTTGTGAAAAATCACCCTAAGGTCCATTTCCGCAGATACTGGGCCATATAGTAAAACCTATGACTAGTGACCACCCGTTGGGGCCAGAAAAAGCGGTCTTTAGTGGCAGGTGGTCCTTAGTCAGCGGTTTGCACCGCACAACCGTAATATAATGTGAGACAGTCCGTGCCTGGCGAAGTGGTCTCTAGTACCAGGCTGGTCGCTAGTCACGGTGGTCTGTAGTACCAGGCTGGTCGCTAGTCACGGTGGTCTGTAGTACCAGGTTGGCCGCTAGTCACGGTGGTCTGTAGTACCAGGCTGGCCGCTTGTTACGGTGGTCTCTAGTACCAGGTTGGTCGCTAGTCACGGTGGTCTGTAGTACCAGGCTGGCCGCTAATCACGGTGGTCTTTAGTTACAAGTTTTACTGTATTTTGGTGCCAGGTAACTGGTTACGTTTGTCGCACCTTCAGACTGTATGTCAATCTAATCACTGTGGACACCAGGTACTTGTAACTCGTATCCAATGAAGGTCATGAGGTTATATCATGGTTTGACGTGATTTGCATGCAGCAGGTGACAAATCCGCGGCCCAGTGGTTCGCGCGCGCGCGCTGGCTTCCAATACAAAAACTAGCACTGATTTAATTCTCCACCACACATTACTCATAGACATTCTAGTTTGCCAGCAAGACCTCAATATAAACTAGCAGTGGTTGCTAAACAAAAAAAATCTGGCTTCCAGTCCAGACACTCCATACAACACCACGCCGAGTACCTCACCCCTAAGCGGTACAGTCTCTTTTGTCCCTTCCCATATCTTTAGTATTCGCTCAGTTTCCGAGTGCGCTGTAATTAAATTTTAGCACTTTTTGGAATGTTGATTTCATGACGTTCTTTTGTGTAAGTCTTGGTTCGTTCGTAACGTTTAAACTGGACCACTGTTGAACTGTACGTCGTGCTGAGATTGCGACGAATCATCTCCAACACACATCCCAAAAGGAGTCAGGTAAGCAAACTGGCCTCAAGTGGTCAGGTATGTCGTTATGGCATTATTATTACCGGTAGTATTGATTTGCACCAACCTTGGTAATGACGGATTGGATGGCTTGATTCTCGGCCGAAGTGTTCCGTGACGAACGTACCCTTCCCGCCGTGCTAACGGTATCCGCACCGCTAGACATGCTAGCCTAATGTCCTGCGAACAGCGCACACTCCACGTCCACTCCTGCTACTCCTGCAACAATGAGTTGCAGATATGTATAAGTAAAAATTAATGATAACAGTACTGCTAAGGCCACCCTTTGTTAATTCATTGTTTAACGTCCTTTTTTTCGCGAAAAGGTACGCGGGAGGGCGGAAAAAAACAAAAGCCCATTCCAAAAACTGGAAACCCCAATCAAACATTTTGACCAGTAAAGCATGTGATATATACAATATATCTGGGTCTAACGGCACTTGCAGGCATAGAACAACACTCTTTGATGGTACATTGGAGCACATGCCTGATGAATCCAACAAAACAGGTACATAGCATGGAGTTAGCATGTCATGAATTCATCACATCTGGATTTTTACTAGGACACACACCGTACGATATTTAAAAGCCAACAAAAATAGAAGAAGAACACAAGACAAAGGCATGCCCGGGAGGCAAGATTATAAGTTTAAGGTCATGATCGGCACACTGTGAAACTACACAATCATGTATTTACAACTTCGCATATTATTGGTACTACTACTTTCTTGTTTTTTTTCCGGTCGGAGGCAAAAAGGTACGCGGGCGCGGACGTTAAACAACGAAAAAAGAAAGGGTGGCCTAAAGTAAAAGGAACAGGTTTCTGAGAAAAAGCAATACAAAAGTTATTGCAGAAGACACCCAGTGCACTCAGCTAGCTGTCAGCACTGTGCCATACACTCGGAGTTAATAATCAGTGCATCTTTGTTCTTACACTTTTAGTTACAGCTTGATTATTGAATGGTTGTGATAATGTACTTCAGTCTATTGAGAATGCTAAAATGCACGTTATTGCCGACGTGACGCGCAATTTCACGTCCAATTTTGCGTAAAACTCCAAATTTTGACGTGAGCTAGCTGCATGGCCAGCCAAATACTAAACGCGAGCTGAACTTTCGCGTCACGTCAAAATAACGTGTCTCTACTGAAGCCTGAAGCCAGTACATGCAGTGGTGCAGTGAAGCCTGAAGGGTCTTTCCCCACTTCACCTGTCAACGTTGTACATGACAATGACATGTGGAGGAGGGTGTTTCACTGAATAGGAGATGCATGTACAGTGTACATGTACATGTTATGCCGCAAGCCGGAATAGACTCAACATTCGACTGCTACTGCTAGCCCTTTCCCAAAGCCAAGGTGCACGTGACTTAGTGCTTTTCGCGTCCCTCAAAATCAGGGAGTCGTATAGTCTAGACCCGGGAGGCGACACGAGGCCTTCCGGGCCGACTATGATTGACTCGCGGCACTTTCTCCCACTTTTCCCTCAGATATCCCCGGTGCGTGCCCTGAGTTATAAACCAACTACTCCGCGTACTTATGCCATGGGATCCGGGAGTGCACTCCTTGACTCGTGCAGGATCGATACTGATACTAGTAAGTGATAGGATCGTGGGAAATCGTAGCTCGAAAAGAAGAAGAAGAATGAACTACTTTTCCAAGTAATTAGTTGCATTTGATGATCGTGATGGAGGCAGAGAGTGCTGCTGATCGCGATCCAGATCCGGGTCAAGAATCACCTCCTGATCCTAAGGAAACCTCAGCTGACGTAGATCTACGTTCTCTTCGCGTGAACGCTCAGTCTGTATTGGCTTGGGCCACAGGTATGGTTTGAATTCTAATTTTCTATGTTATTATATTTTTCAATTTGTCTTGAAACTTTCAACCTTGCTACTTAGCGGCTTCTGATCTGGTGCGCGTACTGCATAAAAGTTGCGAATAATCATGAATTGGAAGAAATACTTGTGGGTTGATAGAGTGCAGTACTTGTTCAATGGTTTCTACAGAGCGTTCCGAATCCCAGCCGCTAAAGACCCACAGAAGGCAAGAAGCTTGCGTTGCATAGCTGCTGTCCCGCCTGACTGCATAGAAAGAAGACTCGTTTATGGTTGTTCTACAGCCGCTGCTGACGTCCATCAGCTCTGTCCTGCTCCCAGCTGCAGATAGGCCTGGATTTCAATGAGTCGTGTCCCAACTCCGGTGTGAACGATTTCCCGACGTCAATACGAAGTGGGGTCAAGTCATGGGTGTTGCAAGGAAGCTGTCACAAGATGATCCGGTATTGAACGGTAGGTTTTGTAAAGCTGCTCTAACATTTGGATACTATAAATTATAACATTAAATTATTGTATTCACGAAGCCATGCCCAAGACGTGCGACATAGCGTGCGTTCATGTGTATGTGTGTGCGTGCGTGTGTATATTGTGTGCGTGTGTGCGCGCTTGTGTATGTCGTAAAATCCCGCCAGAGCACCCCTACCTCCGCAACCATTCAAGTAGATCCATTTGGGGAGGGGCGGATGGGCGAGTGCTGTTTGCCGCATTCAGTACTACATGAAAAAGTACTCACCCTAAGAAAACTGTGCGTGCGTCTCGTACACCCAACAAAAGTCAAGAGCTGGGAGTCGTACAAACCCATCAAAACCCTAGGGTGTGTGCGATCTCTGGTCAAGAGGATGGGAACTATTGCATACATTTCCAACCAGGTCGTAGACGCAGTACAGTACGACCTCACACTTCACATAGTCATACGAGGATACAACTCTATTGATAGATAAGATAACGTGCTTGTAGATCTCTGCCATGCCAAAGTTGCATTCAGTAGAGGTAGTAGTCTCTGTCAAACGTGTTTGCCATTGGCTCACGGCACTTGTAGCAGCTGATCGGACAATGCAAATGGACTCCCAGTCCACATTAGCTGGTTCTTGATATGCCTTCGAAAATATACCACGGCACGCACTTTCCACTGTTGTTACATAGGGCCGGACGTGTGTTGTCCTGAGCTTGCCACGATACTTTCCGATCTGTCCATCTCCTCTCTTTGTTAAGTTGGAGTTATTTGAAGAGCTGATGGCTGGTAACTTGCTGGTCAGCTGGTAGGAATACGTTTGCAAGTGTTGCTGCTGATTTGTACATTGAATTGCCGGAGTGACGTGGCCTTGAGTAGTCTTCCCCAGCAATGAAATGAAGAGTAGCATGCGTATTGAATTCTCTTGTTGCCGGTTCATCGGTCCCTCTCCATGACACCAGACTAGACTGAATTACTGGCGTCCCTTCATCGGCCTGCTTTTCGCCTCGAACTTCACGAGTTTTGAAATCTGGACCCAACATAATAAAAGTGGGACTCAATTGCGCAGTTCAGATGATAAATTGATGCAATAAGGGGTCATCGCAAAAGTGATTAGTCATCCCTGAAAAAACATCATTCATTTCGTACTCGGACCTCCTCTCCACCCTCCGAAATGAATGGACGACGAAAATCGCATGCAAGTACATGTGTATGCATAGCGTCAGTCGACTGAGATTTTAGCTCCCCCCCTGGAACGATTTTCGTTTCAGGGACGACCAAAAACTTGTGTGACCACTGACTTTCTTTCTCTGTTATCAAGCAGTATGCATTATTTGTAACAGTAATTACTTGTCTGTGTCATGTGGATGCATTGTCTTATTTCCTTTTTCAGGCTACAGCACAACCAAGAGAACGAAATGTACGTCGCAATCAAGCTATGTCGTTGCCATCTTCTATGTGCCATGCGTTACCTGATGTGCCAGCCTGCTATGTCGCATGCCGCTAACCATGCATCGACTAGGCGCCAGGCGCGAACTGATGGTGGTGGTGGTGAGAAGGAGAGCTCTGTGCCAGAATAACTTTGCAGTTTAGAGAGCGTGTCTGGGCAGGCGTGTATTTACCCCCATATTGCCAGGTGTGTATTTACCACCATATGAACCAACCATACGTGCAGTTGCAGTGGAGTCTTCAACTTCATTCTCCCGAGTCAAGCTCCTTGTGAAGACATCTAAGAAGAAGATTGCCTGATGAGTCCAGCCGGGACGAGAAGTACGTCTCAATCAAGCTATGTTGTTGCTGTGTCATCTGCTATGCGCCATACGCTGCCTGATGTACCAGCCTGCTATGTCGGACACCACTCACCCTGCATCGACTAGGCGCCAGACGCGAACTGATGATGGTGGTGGTGGCGGGAAGGAGAGCTCTGTGCCAGAATAACTTTTCAGTTTAGAGAGCGTGTGTAGGCAGGTGTGTATTTACCGCCGTATGAATCAACCACAGTACGATCAGCTGACGTTATAACTTATAAGGATGATCTCGTGCAGCGATATTATGATATTTTTTAAGTCTTTTCTAAGGACTCTCCACTGCAGCGTTTTCTTCCCACTCGGTTCTCTTCTTTTCATCGCTCAGCTTGCACTTGTAATGCTTATACATACTGATCAATCCCGTTCAATTTTCCGTACATTTTTCTCAAAAGCCATAGCGCGGACGAAGTAGTGATTTTCCGTACAAATATGGAAAATACGGAAGGTTGATAGCACTGTGTTGAGGCAGCTATTGTTGACTTTATTTGGAATTAATTCTGTTGTATTTGCACACATTCCTGAGTGCATTGTATTACTATTAGCATCCAATGTGTGTTATCTGTGCGAGCTTCTAACCTTGTGAACATTCACCGAAGGTTCTGTTGGTGGCGCACAAGATCTTCCGGAATGGCTCTTGCGGGCTCTCAGCCCTGCGTTCACTGCATAAAACTTGGCAGAACAGTTCAAGTTTCAATTTAGGCCATTTCCTCACTCTGTGACTCCCAATATTTCACATGTGCAATGATTATAAGTATTGTAGATCACTGGGACAGCGCCACTTTGTTAGCCGATGTTAGTCCTGAAGAAAAATTGACTTCATTGCCCTAAAGGTGAGAAGAAATTGGGACTATTTGTGAAGGAAAACTTTGGAAAATGTAATTTCGAATAAAAGTCATTTCGTTTATCTGGATAGGTCCAATATTTCACAAATGTGCAATATAAGTATTGTAGATCACTGAGACAGGGCAATTTGGTCTGTCGAAGTTAGTCACGAGGAAAAAAATTACTTCATTGCCCTAAAGGTGAGAACAAATTGGCACTATTTGTGAAGGAAAACTTTGGAAAATGTAATTTCGAATATAAGTCATTTCGTTTATCTGGATAGGTCCAATATTTCACAAATGTGCAATATAAGTATTGTAGATCACTGGGACAGGGCAACTTGGTCTGTCGAAAGTTTTTTCCAAAGTAGCTTCGAAAGTGGGCGGGTGGGTCAAGGCCAGTTACGGATTGAAAAACTTCCGAAATGACACGTGCGCGTGCCACGTGTACGTCTACGTGTAGCCCCTGTTTTCCACGCGCGGCTGCGCGCGAACTGTCTACTACAAATATTTTTGTAGTTCTGGCAGTTTCTGCGCCCCCGCGCGCGCTTCCTTGGCTGCTCCTGGGCCGGTGATCATAAAGTTAGTTCGGCGCATTCGACGGCGAGTCGACACTTTCTATTTTTGAGTTTCACTGTCTCCTTCGTCCAGAGTACCGTCTTCCATGCACTCCTTTGAAGTCCTTCCGTCTAGCGCTGGCGCTGACGACTGTTATTGACTATGGTCAGCAGCAGCACATCCCTGGACACAGTATCTGCTACGCTATCGGCCTCGGTTTCTGCACTTGCTGACTGGTTGCAGACCCGTGGTCTCATTTTGAATGCAGCCAAGAGCCACGTGATCCCTGTATACCCCAACAGACAGCCTCAGCAGCCCCAGCATACGATCAATGTAAACTGTCATGAAACGCCGATTCCTGTCGTTACTGTGGCCAGGTATCTTGGAGTGCTCCTCGACTCGGATCTGTCATGGACGCCCCATGTTGATCGCTGCACCGCTCGACTGGCCCAGAGAATCGGAGCACTATGGAGGTTGCGTCGCTGCTTGACTCATCAGAGCCGAGTTCTCTACTTTAAAGCGATCATCATGTCTGACCTGATGTACGGATCCAATGCGTTTTCCCCGCTTCTTACTGCCAACCAATTGGATCGGCTACAAGTCATGCAGAATCGGGCGGCAAGGGCGGTTTTCGGACTCTCGCATCACACCTCCGCGCGTACCCTCCTGCTGCAATTGGACACCTACAGAGTATCCGAGATATTCAGGCAGAAGTTCATCGTTCTGGTCTGGAGGTCTCGGAATGAGCACGCAAGTTCTGAACTGCAAGCCCTCCTAGTTCCTTCGTCAGCTGGCCCAACTAGGTTGCACTCCACCATGGGTCTGCGCCAACCGCCAGTTTCCACCAGGTTCGGCAAGGGTTGCCTCGCGTTCCGGGGCGCCCAGCTGTGGAACACATTACCCAGCGATGTACGTGCCATCTCCACGCTCCGCCAGTTCCGCGCCAGCATGATCCCGCACACACTTACTGGCCTTAGCACCTAGAGTACCAAACGTCCTGTTTGATGATCAGCTGGCTTAGTTTTTTCTCCACCTCTATCCTAATTACATCAGTCCCCAATTTCATTTATTACTGCTTTCTATCTGCATTCGCCACCTTTTCATTGGGCAGATCTGCCCGTTTGGTTTGCGAATTAAAATAAACACAACAACAACAACATGTCCAGACAGGCGACGTTGTTTGGAAAGGCGGTGAAGAAGCAGCCCTTTTTCAAAACCGCTGGTGACTCTGACATGATGTCACTATGACTCATGGACCAGCACTGATTGAGTTTGTTCCATACATGTATGTGTTGGGTTGTGTGTCCATCAATAATATTTTATTACGGACTGGGGGGTGGGTGGGTGGGTGAGGAAAAATTTGAAGCTACTACGGATTGGAAAAAACTTTCGATAATTGCGGACGACCCCTAAGCCAGTGAACAAGACCCTTTATTAGTGAACTCCTCAGCGATGGCCACAGATGGCTGTAATTCGGCAATAGGGCTTGAAAGTGCTACGTCACTCCATAGCAATGGCATAGCAACAATTTGAAAAATTCGAAAACTGGATCCACCTGGATCCAGTTTTTGTATGGATCCAAGCACATTTCAAGCGGTCTCACTCACAGCAAGGTGATGTTGCCAGTGAAACTGACTGATTTGGCTAGTGGGGGCGGGGTGACAACTGGTGGCGAAGTAAAAGTTGCACCTGCATACGACATGAGTGGGTTGCTATGCACCCACATACTGAGGCAATAGCAAAGTCACACCTTAGTGGATCCAAAATAGAAATCTGATGTCAATTTACTACTCCCAGGCCGTTTTTGACGTCATCACTTTCAAGCCCTATGGAGATCGAAAGTCTGACCACAATTGTTCGGCGAAAGGACGAAGACGACGATGTCTCGCTATGTACGGATTTCCCGCGCGCTATGACCTATGTACGGACTTGTCCCACACCGAGCAGGTCGTAATATTTTGAATCGTTGAGTCGATCATGGTTGTGCACAAGTGATGCGCGTGTCGCCTCCCGGGTCTATACCGTATACGACTCCCTGCTCAAAATATTATGCTGAAAAAGTGCTCATTTTTCAGTGAAAACTAGGGCTCAAACGATTAGTCCGATAAACACAACAACAACAACAACAACCGGTTGCAGACCGGTTACGAAGAAGTAACGGTTAACCGATAAAGATAACGGTTACGCAGTAACTTTTCAGTCAATTTTCAAGTATCAAGTCCTTGCAAAGTATGCACTTTCGCAGGCTGTCGCACGCGTACGCAATATCAGGGCTGTCAACTCGGTCATATCTGGTCTCTTGGTGTGAGAGTATGTATGAATGAGCATGCAAGAGAATGTACAAGTGTGCGTTGTACTGAATAGGGTACATTTTTTTGAATGAGTATAGTCAAATATACGGTTAAAAAAGAGTCCGCAGGATTGCCGTGGCTTATAGGTTATAACCGGTTAACCGACCGTTAGCTTAGCAGTTAACCGTCAGGGGTAAAACCGTGACCGTTTGAGCCCTAGTGAAAACAGGCAAAAAGTGCTCTTTTTTCAGTGAAGCATAGCCATGATACATGACTGTTCAGATATGAACTCAAGCTGAGAAATGAATACGCACTCTTCCATTTTATGGCCCACGAAAGGCAAAACAGGAAGTAAAGTTCAAAAAACCCACTTTTTACAGCATTGTGTACACCGGGGGTACAAGCTTCAACAACTTGTTGCCCCACCCCCCCCCCCCCCCAAAAAAAGCTGCATGCCAAGCCCCATCGAGCCCTCGGAAACTGTGCAGTCCGTGCGCCAGATTCAAACTATCGCACTCTATCCATGTTTTTTATTTTCCAGAGTCAGTGGACTTCGAACTTTTTGAGCTATTTCTTGAGAATTGTTAGTTTCTAGTCATTGCAAGGTGGGCCTTACAAGGCCCTTTTTCGTTCGAGTTCAGACCTGACACGCCGTCCATCGCCGGATAAGGCAAACTTCTATCCTCAGTTTCGAACGTTTTCTCGCGGGGTGCTTCTGTCCCATGCAGCATCACGTCTTCTCCGACTGTCGAAATTTGAATATTTCTTTACGCAGGACTTTAGTGTAGTGCCATCAAGTATTCCAGGCACGCTAGTAACACCTACTACAACATCCAGAAGAACAAGCCTAATAGGCCATTCACACGACGGGCAAACTTACTTTTATCGTACCGTTTCCAAGGATATTTACTCGGATACGATAAACTTGGACACGCGCGAGCAACAGATTTTTTATCTTGGCCGAGGCCCTTTTGCTCGCAATTATCTTTGCACGCCAGGAAAAGTGTCGGTT